TACTTAACCAAATGCCCTGTTTGATAGTCTTGTTTTCCAAGAAAAATGAAAAAGGTGGACATACAAAATGTATCGGGGAATATCGAAATGAAGGAATGTAAACCAATCAAATTTTTCAATTGTTAATTACACTGGAAATCAATTAATTTTGAACGATGAGAGACTACAGTATTTTGCGTGTCAAGAATGTTCAAATAAAGTCGTTGTGTTGCACAATAGCAAACTCTACAACAACAAATTCTTTTTAGATGTTCAGAAATACACAAATTTCAATGTCGTGCAAATTGATATGCCACAAATTGTGGTATTCGAGAAGAATACTGAGGTACTTTTTGAAGCTAAAATGGGAAGTTTGGCATACACGCCACTGTTTATAAGTATTTTGAAGTTAGAGAATGATGTTATACTTCGAAATTACAGTTACGAAATATTTGATTTTAAAGTTACAAATACAGATGTGGTGGTGTTATTGGGACATGTCGGGAATGCAACATTCAGTGGAATGACATGTAAGAAAGTGGTAATGGGTAATGTCAAGTTGATCAATTGTATCAATTGTAATATTGAAATGCTCGAAGCAAAAAAAATATTGAAAACTCACTTACAAAAGGTCTAAATTTTTAAGTTGTGAAAACTATGAAAATAGAAAATATGAATAGACCAAAAACTTAAATCATAAGATTGGAATTTTAATTTGACCTATTAAAAGAATGAAACGCAAAAAAATGTGTTTAAAAAATTTGATATTTTGGTTATTGTTTTTGTTTAAATAAAATGTGTAAACAATAATTATAGATTTTTTGTGTTTTTTATAATAAAAACCAAATATTCTATGGGGTCATGCTAATAAATTCCGCTTCACAAATCAACGAAAAAATAATTATAATAAGTTAATTCTGCTATGTTGTCACAGTAATAAAAAGATTTTCCTACTTATTACCAGTGTCTTATAAAACTTATGAATTGAAAATTTTCAGATTAAAAATTGTAAAAATTAGGGATCTAATGATATGGTTTCTTGCTATAGTGTCAACTATGTGAAAACTACTAAAAATGTCTTGTTTTCATATAATTGTAATATATATGTTATTTATTTTAAAAATCACATTTTTTAATAAATAGAAAATACATTTTTACATCTCGTGCTCTTTATTTAAGTAAATAATTAATAAGCTGGTTAACCAAATGGTAGTTTTTTAAAATATTTTACAATTTTTATGGTTAGGCAACAATTTTATGTTAATTATTATTTTTAGTTTAATTTACAATTTTTAATTAATTAAATGGATTTTTTGTCTAACCATACTTTTTTGTTAAATAACAAGTACATTTTTATTCGTGTTTAGACAATGAACAACTTAATAAATTTGATTAAAATAACAACTATTTTTTAATTTAATTATTTTTTATATTGTTCGGTTTTGTAAATTAAATATATCATTTATTGATTTGCATGAAAAACAGGAAAATAATATATAACAATAATTCTAGATTGACAGTCAACCTGTGTCATTTATCCAGGTCATCAAGAAAACAATTAAACCTAAAATTTGATTTTAGAAAATCAAAATAATTCCACAAATGTATTTATTATTTTATAAATAAAATAAAAATAAATCAAAACAATAAACTTTAATCTTAATTTTTTCAATATGTTATTGATTGTTCTTGTTGATATTGTGATATCAAATCATTTAGTTGTGGATTTGTCATCTGATTTAATAACTCACATTGAAACACCAGTTAATGAAAAAACTATTATTAAAACGGATATTTACACTCATTATAATTATACAATATACAAGTCATGTTGCTCCGACAATACTTACACATATAAATCAACAACACCAACACCTATATATACAGACTTTTATTTTGAAGAAGGAGTCGTTCTAGAAAAACTGTTTCTTCATACAACAAACACGCAAGAAAGATTTTATATTAATGATACAAACATGCCAGATGGACTTTCGGTTATTTTAGGGTGTGAGGATAGTTGTAGACCAAATTCAAATAATATGTATCGTCCAACCGTGGAACCTATAACCAAAGGAATTGCATTATATTCTTATGGAAATGCAAATTTGTATGTTTACAAACGCCTAAATGAACTTTTCTTATTTGTGAACGGCACAAAACCATCTGACATATTTTTTAGTTTTTCGCTTGACTATATTTATAATGACAATTATTATAGTATACCAAGGTATGCAGCGACTGGTTATTTTGATATGATTTTCTTTTACGATAGTGGTAATGTAAAAAAATATAGTGTATGTGCAAAAAATAATGGAACGATTCAAAGATATATATTTACAACACAAACTATTGAATATCAAGATTGTACTTGTTCTTCTGTGGACAATAACAATAACATTAATTTCCAAACGAAATTTAATTATCCAGACTGTAACTACAACGGCTCTCTTTATGATCTCAATTTAGAAACAATCTTTAGTGTTGATAATAATAAAAAAAGTTACGACTTTGGACTGTCGATGTGGAATTCGTTGATGATATCAGAAAATGTTTTGTACATTTTTAACTCTACAAATAATCAAATATTAACATTAAATGAATTCAAAATGTCGAGTGGTTTTTCAGTCTATTTTGATGTGGAAACAGTTATCAAAAGTTTAACGATAACTTCAAAAGGAAATTACACATTTAACAAACCAGTCACAATCGTGACTTACACTCTCAGTGATATTGTAAAAAATCAAATTCTCTTCTACATTAATTCAACATATAATAATCATATTCAAACACCACTTACAGTATGTGGAAATCGAGTAATCCATGAAAATTGTATTAACATTCTTTGTGACTGTGAATACAACGAAAACAAAACCTTTACTTTTCGAGGTGAAATTATGACCGACTGCACAAAAAACCCACGCACCAACTTGAAATTGATTATAAAACATACCAAATATACCATTCAAAACAACGAAAACTGGGGAGTTATAAATTGTTCTGATAAAGCTGTGATATCTTCCACAAGCAACAATGTTAATATCAATTCAAATCATTGCATGTTCACTGAAACTATTTATTTAGAAGCAAATGTTATTTGTAACTATTTGTTTGTGTACAACACAACAAGAATTATAGTTGACAACTTCACTTCAAATAAATATAGTTTGTCTATTGCAAATGTTAAAATTGTAGATGAGATTTCTGGAATAAATCAAAATGGAATTATACAAATAAAAGGCGGCAAACTATCATCACATTATTCAAATCAAAACATTTCATTGATTTTTCCTGTCATTGGAAGTTCAACAAAATGCATTGACTTTGTCTCGTCTTCCACACCACTGAATGATTTTCCATTTGAATTCGATTCAACAAAAATATTATTAGGAAGTAAATTGTATCGTATTTGTTATGGAGGGGACAACGATTTTGATTACACAATTCAATGCAATTTAACAGGAAGTATTTATTCATCATTCCAAAGTTACCAAGATGAGGTGTTGCATTGTCCTGTTAATAATATCAATACAACTGTTATAGTGTCAACCAATGTAGTTGATTTGAATGAGTTGTTTTCTGGTACTTTTGATCAACAAGAAACGGTAACAAAGTTCAAATTTGAAAAACGTTCTAATTATAGTTTCAAAGATTCTACAAAAACTGTTTTATTTGTTCAAGACGAATCCGTGGAAGGAAACATTCTAAACATTCAAACAAGTTTAATAAAACTGTTGCTTGGAAATAAATACAAATTTGCAAATACAATAAATTCAAATAATTTAAAAAATGGCAATGAATACATTTCAATTGAGCACAATTCGTCTAATAAGTGCAATTCATTATTATTAACTCATTTAAATTCGAAGTGCTTACACTGTGATCAGTCGTTTTTAGCCAATGGAAAATGTCTTGATTTCAGTGACAAATGCGTTTCTCGACAACGAAATGGAACAACCACATATTGTGAAGAGTGTGAAAGTGGGTTTGAACCTTACAAAGAAAAATGCAATAAATGTCCTGATCACTGCCTTCGATGTTCCAACTCGAATTGTTTGCTTTGCGAAGTAAATTATCGAATAAACTCGTCATTTGGATGCTCAGAAGTTGAAAATAAATATACCACATTATTGTTCTATAATATATCACGTGTTTACAAATGTAAAGAAGGGTATTATAACACAAAAAATAATTGTACAAATGTGCCCACAAAATGTGTTTCTTATGCAGAAGAAACCAAATGCAAAATTTGCAAATCAAATGAAATTTTGAATACTGAAGAGACTTGTTCGACACTAAGTGGGGTTATAACAACAAACAACAAAGTTCCACTAATTTGTAAACCCTCGTATTATTTATTTAACAACACGTGTAAACTGTGTAATGAGACGTTTGGTGATTTGTGTCAAAGATGCACGAAACACAGTTGTGTATTTTGTGGGTTAACAGGTGTTGTTAATTCTGAAGGATATTGTTTATCGCTTGATACAAGTGAGTGTATAACAAGTTTTAATACATTTTGTAGTGGCTGTTCAGACAAATCCGATTTCATCAAAAATGATGTTTGCATTCAAAATATCAACAATTGTGATGTTACAAATTTGAATGGCAAATGTGTGAATTGTGTGAATGGGTTTTATCTTGATTATAATACACAAACGTGTGTCTCAACACAGCAAACAATGAACGATTGTGAGACTTTGTATTTCAAAGGCGATCGTTGTGTTCGGTGCAAATCGACGTTTTATCTCACTGAGAATCACATGTGTTTGAACTGTTCTGAAAATTGTTTAACTTGCACTTCAAATACAAATTGCATATTGTGTGACAACAATTATATAGTCAAAAATGGGTTTTGTGTTTCAGGAACTGATGTGTCAGACAACTGCAGCAAAGTAGTGACAGGCACTTCGATATGCGCTCTCTGTGTATCAAAGACGTTTAGAAATGAAAATGGAAAGTGTGAAAATTGCTTGGAGAATTGTGTTGAATGTCGAAATATCAAAACGTGTACGTTTTGTGAGTCGAATTACTTGTTACTCACAAATTCAAGTGCTTGTATTTCGTACGATAATTTGACTAATTGTGAAGATAAAAGTGTTCGTGGGTGTTTAAAGTGTTCCTCTGGCTATTTCGTTGAAAATCAATTTTGTTATTCTTGTGACTCCAAAACGACAAATTGTGAAACTTGCAATTCTGTTGGGAAGTGCACGTCGTGTAAAAATGACTTTATTCTTAATGAATCATCTGAATGTGTATCAAAGAGTCAAGTGGATAATTGTATTAAAGTCTCGGATTCAAAGTGTACCAAATGTACTTTTTGGCATGTTCCAGACAACACAAAGACGAAATGTATTGCTCAAGTAGTTTGGTGGGTCATTCTTTTATGTGTTCTGTTTGTTATAGTCATTTTTATTATAATCATTGCATTGTCCATCTTCATTTTCATTGTAATTTTGAACCACCGCAAGACAGAAAAGTTACGAGAGAAGTATTGCTTATTTGATATGAAAAATACGAACATTGATTTTGTCAAAACTGATATAGTTGATATAGTTGTCAACAAGACGTGTATTGAATTTTGTGGAGCGACAGAAGAAACAAGTAGAATACCTGTTGCCACTGAAAGTCGTGAATTGATATGTGTTGGAAATGTCGGTAAAAATGTCATCAAAGTGCAATTCAGTCTGAAAGATAATTGCACAAAATACTCAATTCGAACTGAACCAAAAATCATGACAATCCCAAAAGGAAACGCAATCGAATTTGAAGTTTTTTTAACACCTAATTACTCGTGTATAATAGAAGACAAAATCGTGTTAATCTCTGCTAATTTAAAGAAGGGAGAAACGTCACAAATTTACATAGAAACAAAGACGGAGACGGAGATGTCAACTCGATTAGACCCAGACGAGCTGATTGAAGAGAAACAACTTGGGGAAGGCTCATTTGGTGTGGTTTACAAAGGCAAATTCCGAACTAATGAAGTTGCTATAAAGAAGATGAAAGAGTTTGGAAATGACAGAACAAAAGTCGACGAGTTTGAGAAGGAAGTCTCGATGTTAGACAAGTTCCGCAGTGACTATATCGTCAACTTTTATGGAGCTGTATTTATACCAAATAAGATATGTATGGTCACTGAATTTGCTAAATATGGAAGTCTAAATGACTTGATCAAACACAGAAAAGATGGTGTACAAGAAGACATTAAAATGAAGATCATACATGATATGACAAAAGGTTTACTTTACTTACACAAAAATGGCATTGTTCATAGAGATATCAAACCAGACAATTTATTGGTATTTTCACTTGATTTAAATGATACAGTGAATGCCAAATTGACTGATTTTGGAAGTGCCAGAAATATCAATTTACTGATGACTAACATGACTTTCACAAAAGGAATTGGAACACCAACTTACATGGCTCCTGAAGTGTTGGAACAAGAAAAATACAAAAAGAGTGCTGATATTTATTCATTTGGTATAACATTTTATGAAACATTAAAATGGGGAGAAGCATATGACAAAAAGGAATTCAAATTTCCATGGAAAATAGCCGAGTTTGTAATTTCAGGAAAAAGACTTGATAAAAAGGAAAATATGAGTGAAAATCATTTCAAATTGATACAAAATTGTTGGAGCCAACGACCAAATGATAGGCCTAATATTGATGAAGTTGTAAAAAAATTGGAAGCCATTTAACTTTGAAATGAAATTAATTTTAGTCACATTATAGTATATATTCAAAATTATAATAATAATAATATTATTATAATCACTTTAATAAATATAAATAATAAAAACAAAACTTTTTCAAATTTAAAAACCATTTACACATGGAAAAATTAAAGAGCTCAATAACATTATTATAATATATGGAAGCCGGGTATTTAATTTTGGACAACTAATGCCTTGTAATTATTTGGTTATTAACAAAGCTATTGATCAGTTGTTTTATATAAGTTTTTTATAGATATTCAAATCCTAAATAATAATGTCGGAATTAAAAAAAAGAATTGTTATAAAGTTAATTATTAATTAATTTATTAAGTTTGATACACAATTTTGTTTTTTATAAACAAACAATTTTTATCACTTCTTTCATGTTATACGAAATGATAGACATACTTTTTTGTAAGTTTGATATCTCACTACTTTGATAAACACTGATTAATTCTCACAATACTAGGACTTTGTACGTTTCAAAATAGTTACATTTTAATAATTGAATGACTAAGTAAAATAATTCAAAAAATAAAAAAATAACATAATAGTCAAAAATGTCTAAAAAATAAAAATGTTAAAAATTATTTTAATTATGATATTTTTTAATTTTTTATTTAATATCAAAAAATATGTTTACAAAATGAAGATTTGGGGACAATCGACAGTCTTCTATGTTCACTTAAAGATCGAGTATTTACAAAGCGTTAGAAACTTATTATGTGCCAGAATTATTTTAAGAAACCAAATGAATTTAACACCCATTTTTATATCAATTATTATCAAGAAAAAAATAAAAAACAAAAAACAAAAAATTAAAATTTTTACATCAATAAATTCTTTAATTTCTTGGCACCCCTTAAGTTTCTGGCACCCATTAAAAACTCTATCTGTATATCTGATTATTAAATACAATAAACAGTATTCATTTATGAAAAAATTTTTGTTTTGAAAACAATTCAACATTTCTTTTCCTGTTGTTTTTGAAAGCCAACTTAAATAGTATATTTACTATATATAATTATTCAGATTGGTCGAAAATGTAAAGAGAAAAAACAAAAAAATGAACGAGTAGCATAATAAAAAAATAGTTTTATTTTTAGAATACCCATTTTTACTCAGTCGCCTCTTTTTGCAAAAGTTGCACTGGTTTTGTCTGTAATTTTATACAATAATAATTATTTGTTAAACATTTTCAATTTAAATTAAAACTAACAATACATATGATTTAATTTTTGATTTTTTATGTTCTTTAAATTATTTATAAGGAAGAAATCATTTCAATAACGGTTGTAAAAAAAATATTTAACAATAAACACTTAAAATAACACCCTTGTTTATTTAATTGACCTCTTCGTACTTGGATATTAATTTAATTTTAGATGATTTTTTTGGGTTGTGTACTGTTATTTACACATAATAAACTTAAAAAAAATTGAAAATTATTTAATAAACCTGAGATTTCCCGATTTTTAGACCACTTGAATTGTGTTGAATGTTTTTAAGGTGTTAATAACTAGTCTTTTTCAGTTTAAAATAATACAATTGTTTTATTTATTTTATTTTTAAAATAAAAATCATTTTAAGTATTGTAAATTACAACAATTCGTAAAATGAATTTTATATGTTAATATTAAAATGAATAACAAATAAGTTATTTAAGCATAAAATGCCGAAATAAAAACAAAAAAGATCAATAAACTAATGATGTTCCAAATTAGAATAATTTTAATATAAATTCCCAAAATAGGCATACATAGTTAACCTACATTATTCTTAAAAAGTAGTATCGTGTTGCCTATATGTTCAAATTGCCACTGTTGTTTATTTATATAAATTTTCCCTAAAAATATTTGTCGAAAAATGTTAAAAACTTTTATAATAAACTAAAGCAACATTATAATAGCCGATGCATTTTTAATCAATAAATATTTTATTGGAACTACCTATTTAACCACCAAAAAGAACTTAAAACTTCAAAGTCTTATTATCAATGGCTGGCCTAAACAGCAAAAATAAAGTTGTGATGGTTGGGGATTATGGCACAGGTATGTTTGAAT